TCGTCTCATTGATTTGTTTATGTAGATGTCTAATCACTTTTGCAAAAAATTGCTTCATGACTGCATAAAGGAATGAAAGAATCGAAAACGTAAAATGAACATCATGAAATATCAATTAACATGATAAAAATAATGAAAAAAAAAAAAAAAAAAAAAAATGTTGGGCTGCTGAGCATTAACTTTCACGTAAAAGTGATGAAAATGATTGAGCAAATAAATGGAAACCAGTGATCAATACGCACATCAAAATCATTTTCTAGATCAGTGAAGCGCGAAGAAAGGTCGTACGATAAATTTAGGGATTCTTAAAGACTGAAAACAAAGATATGGCCCAGCTTCATGTATATAGCCTCTGCCTTCAAAGAGTGTTTGGGTTTAAATGCTTCGATACACAAGAATGAAAGAACATTTCTTTTCAGATACCCAGCAATTTATAAAAAAAAAATCAGACTGTAGGGTTTCTCTTATTTTGCAATAACAAATTATTTTAAGTTTGATACCTTTCCTAAACCTCGCATTTTCCCCTCGCTTTCCTTGCAGGATATAAATTTAAAGTTAAGTGAGATGAGTATTTAAACGCTTGAATCTCTTTAGTCAGGGTGTGTTTTCGCTAAGCCAGTGCACGTTTCGTTCCTGATATTGCGGTTACGCTAGTACGCCCCTTGGCCATTTCGATAATTGTCGCGCCTGTTAGGTTTTGTTGAGTCAAATTAAGTTACCATACTTAAGCGTGCTAATCCAGCACTATTCTATTTAGACTTGAATTTGATTGTGTAATAACGTTTAAGTTCCACTGCAAGTAGTCGGTGTTATTGTAAAGCACGAAGTACGTGCTTTTCTGTTAATAGTTGGAATTAATAAAGGGTTATTTTCACACTTCTGTGCTGGTACTTACTTCACGCCTGAGCGAAAATTCGCCAGGTTCATTGTAGGATCTACTTGTAGTTTAGTTTATGTGCAAAAGAAGAGACAGATCTTACAAGACTATAAATACAAAAAATACCACTAAATGCAAAACGATTACAAATATTTCAGGCAAAGTATGCGTTCAAGTATTTAAACGAGATTAATGTCAACGGCTATTACATGAAAATCTCTTCCGTTTCATTTTAAAAACCTTCGAATTCATGTAGTTAATTATCACAATGTTTAGTGTTACCTAATCAACCTTGTTAGGCAGTTACACAGTGCATTCTAGCTAGCTACAATGCGCAAATGAAATTATAAATGAAAATGGGAAGACTGGACTTAATATATATATATATAATATGATATACTGGACCACAGCAAAGCACACTAGCGGATCTGCTTAAGCGTAAGGATTCCTTCGTGGAGGGTTTTCAAAGAAATATTAGTTCATATTCATTTTTACATATGAGAAAAATCATGAAAACACTCATGCAGCCAGTCCATTCATTCGGATTTGAAATAAAAATCAAATTATCAGTGCTCAGCGGCTTTTATCTGCTCGGCCAATGGTGGGCAAAATCGATGAGAAAATGTTCCTCTTTCGGTAGTCTTCACTCCTCTATATGTCTATATGGGGTGTATTGTAATTAATTACATTGTTCAATTAAAATTATAAAAGCAATTGATGAAAAAACATTTCTCTTACATGTAAAACTTTCAAAAACTGGATGTAAATTTACATTTTACAAGTTGTTACTTTAATGGAATTTGATACATTTAGTTGTTATTAATTAAATTCCTGTTTCAATCATTTCTTCACTATACAGGCTGGCCGAAACAAAACTGGCCAGGAAATGTGTTTTAGAAAATTTCACGATATTTTAAACAGCAGAGATCACTTGAAATTGGGCAGACATTGTTTAGTGGTCAGCTGAACGCAACATAAAATGGTGCAAACAATTAAATAACACTATTACTGAAAATTATGGGAAGCACATTTCATTAAAAATGTGTACTGAATTGTTTGCGCAAGAGTTTAAGAATGAAAGCGTCTTGGCAAAACTTCAGCAAAATATGGAATGGAAAACTTTGTAACAAAATAGCACGGAACGAACTCTACAGAAAGGAAGTTTTGTTCATTAACAAGGGTAAATTCATTGTCAGAATTACACACATTTCTCGGGCCAATTTTATTTTAGCCATCAAATCCATACAACATACAAAGCATACATCCTTGTACATATATGTTTATTTCGTAATCAGCTTACTGACAGTCACATGAAACGTGTCACTTTTGCCCAGCGCGAACCTACAACATGAAGTATCTTCCTAAAAATAAAAGGATTTCGGAATTTTCTGAAACCTGCAGTGTTTTGTTAACATTAAATTTTTTCATTCGTATTTAGCTTAAGTTGGTTCGTATTGACAAAAAGAATATTTATCTTCTTGCATGAACTGTTTAAAAAGTGTGAATAAACACTAACAAAATAAATATATAAGTAAATCATGACCAATAAATACAAAATGAATGAAACTCCCACATGAATAGATACATACACATCAGATTTTGCATATATTTATGCGTTTATCACTCTATATTTTCGTTTCGAGAATCTATTATCCAAAGGCTTCAGAAACAGCATTTTGAAGCTTTGACTAATAGCGAAGTATAAATAATTTTAGCCTACTTTTATATGCGTGTCTAAAGCGTATTAGCAGTTAATATTTTTATTCCCGCGTCGTTAGATTAACAAATTAATATATTATAAATTTTTATTTATTATATTATATATATATAATACAAAAAGAAACATAGTAATAGGCCAAAAAATAAACACAGAATTTTTTTAACCAATCCTGCACTACAGCTGCTAGACTGAAGAAAATTAAACTTAAAGCACCTTAAGTTAAAATTAAATTGAAATTAAAGCAAAACAATTCCTCAACAAGTTTAATAATTGCAACCGTATAACCGTACAATAATTAAACCTCTTCCAGGTTGCAATTATTAAAATTGTTGAGAAATTGCCTTGCTTTAATTCCAATTTAATTTTAACTATAGATGCTTTAAGGTTGTGTATATGAAAAGAAAAGAATATATTGTCAATTTTTCCCCAGATACAAATTCTTTCCTTTCCAAATGAAAATAGTAAAATCATCAGTAAGATTATAAAATTGCTAATGATTTTTCAAGCAGGTTATAAGACTGTCTACAGTGTGATTTTATTAAAATTTAATTTTTTCAAGAAACGAAAGAACCATGTATGTAACTAGGAATTGCAAAACGAATCAGTTCTGAGCTTTGTAACCGGTGAAGGAGAAGTAATTTAGGGGACAATTTTTCATTTAGTATGACTGCAATGCCGTACTTCTCATTCTGAATCAAGAAAGCAGGCACATCCGATTCAACTTAATGAAAATTAAAGTTATGCCCTTCAGTGCCTTTGGCAGAGATTAAATAGTTTAAGAACGAACTGCCGTCAAATTTGGCGAATGCATTTTTCAGAAAAAAGGGAGTAGGACCATCTTCTAACGTCACTTAACAACACTGATTGAAAGGAATGCGCAGCATATAAACATTATGATGATTCGGCTTAAGCTTCAAATGCGAGAATACAACGACCGTATTCAAGTGCTAACGGCGCCTTCAAAATTCCACGGTAGGATTCTGTTACATCAGATTTAGAGTGACGTACGTTTAATCGCTCCGAAGAGATAAGCACCTTATCTGTTGTACCAGGAAGAAAGCCCAGAAAATTATTCCAGTTGAAAATTTGCAATGGAATGACCTATTAACTTTGTTACAGTAGATATAACATACTACCCTCGTATTCACGTGTAATACATTCCAAGAAGTATGGCGGTTATAAAAGTTGAGCAGATAAAGTAAGCCCAGCAAGAAATTACGAACGCTAATTAATGTAATAATAACGTGCAATATACACTGCGTTGTGCGAAAGGCAGTTTCTGCTCTTTCGAGCTCTCTCGTACAATACAGCGCGTACTATACGCTTTTATTAAATTAAGGCTCTGTTAGATTAAGAATAAATTTTTACAACACGGCTGTTGCTGAACATTTCCAGGAATTTTAATCATCTAGCTAGGTTATCTTTAATCAATGACTCTGATCAGACGCGAAATCCCTCGTCGCTTGAGAAGGAAGAAGCAAAAAAGGTCGTCCTCTGTCTTTCTTTTTATTGACTAAGCTTGTAAGGAACATTCTCCTATCTGTGTTCGAGGTGTAATTCGTAGCACATACGGCTAGCATCGGAAGGTTCGGAGTTTGAATCCCGCCGAGGGCATCGCTGATACTTGACGTTTCCCGGGTTCAAGAAAATACCTAACCGCTCTGCAAGTTACCTGAAACATTTTGGTGTCGAAGTTTATTATTCAGCGTCGCCACCTACTTCTCAAACTTATTCTGGAAACATATTCGAGGGAAAGCTGCTTATCGCGTCTCCCATTTTTCAGTCTGATAAGGATCTTATAAGAGGAGAAAGCGTATATTTCTTCTCTCTTACTCTCATACGTTGAAGGATTTTGTTCTATTAGCTCAGTCCTCAAAAAAAGATAGAGCATTTAAAAAACTCTGTACCTGAATTACAGTTTCAAGGAATGGCAGCGCAAGAGAAATCCTACTTTTCATTAAAACCCTCCATAAGCAATGGAAAGAGAGTATGCACGTTCGGTCTGTTGTATTTGAATCATATTAAGGCTTGTCCACGCTTGATACGCATTTTTTAACACAGGAGCTGTTTATTTCTTTAGTTTTTAAAATATATTTAAGGTAGCTGTAGCTCGCGGATACCAAATCAGCAGGTACATATGCTTAACAGTATTTGCATGATAGCTTAAACACGATAGTACTTAAATAATAAATACTTAAAACACTTAAACAGATTAAATACTTCTGTCAACTAAATTTACTAAATGATCTTTTCCAAATTTGAGGCTTCAGACGCCAGACATTTACTGGGGTGAGTGAATGAAAAATACTTAACATTTGCCATTTCAAAGAAATGAACTACGCGAAAACCATTTCGTATAAAATGACACAAACATGAACATTTGAAAAATGAAGTTTTGCTTACCTCACGAGTAAGACTATGATCTTCCGTTGAACTGGATTCCCGATCACTGGAAATATCCACGCTATCGGGAACTGCTTCGGCTCCAGTGGGCAACGAAGGGTCTCCAGGTGTGATACTATTACCATTGCTTTCAAAATTTGAGCTTTGTAAAGATGGAGCTGCAGTTTGATCACCAGGAGAACTAGCATAATATGCAATTAAATTACTTCGTCTGGCTCTCACGCTATTAAAATAGTTCAATCTGTTAAAGAGTATTGAAGTTTCTTCTAACTCATTGTATTCAAAGCTTTTTGGATGAATACGACGATAACTCGAATAAGGCGCGCGAGAAATAATTTGAGTGTACGCTACACTTGACCCAACAAACACGTCCCGACTCACAAGCTCCCTAGTCCACATATCATTTTGACTGATATCAGAGTCAAGTCGTAAACGCACCACAAGTAATACCAATAAAAGCAGATCGCTACTGATCTTTTTTGAAAAAAACATATTTGCATTAAAGTTTTTCAAAATAATTTACAAACGCTTTTAAAAAATATATTAGTTTAATAAATACGCTGCATGAGATAAAAAATAAACAACTTTAATTCTTTAAGATCGAATTTTGGAAAAACAATTTCGGCAACAATTTATCAAAAAATTTTTTAAAATGTACGGCCTAGGTTTGTATTCATTTAAGGAATTGTTTCGTGTTATCTAAAATCACTGAAAATAATTAAAAACATGAGTATTTCTTATTCACACTTGGAAACTCTTGTATGCTTCCGTAGCCTTTTTGTCCTATCTCGCTACCTAGAAAAAAGGAAAAAGTTATAATTAGAATAACTTGAATGCTTATGAAATAAGACATAAGAATAATTCGTAATTTTTCAATGTCATTTATTACATGAGTATCATTTCAGTTTCATCAGCTGACCATAACAAATATACACTTGAGATGCAAATAATGTAATTTTCACACCACTCCAATTTACGCATACAGATCTAGATATAAACTTACACATTTTAGAAGATTCCAAAGCAGTCACAAGCTCGATCATAAATTCTAAAAAGAAATGTTTAAATGGAAAAATTTATTCTTCCTTGAGCCATTTCTGAGGACATAAAGATATTTCAGTTAATTTCAGTATAAAATTCGCACACTCGCTTCTATGAATTAAATGATGCTAAATCCTTTTTCTTTTCAGAAAGAATAGGACAGATCATATTGTTATCGTTAAATCCATAAAGTACACTTAGAGAATACAAGCCATCTACAAAACAGCGGCAAAGTTTAACAATCTTTTTAATATTCGTTTGGTCGGCAACACGTAAAGTGACTGTTAAGTAACTTATTTAGCTATTTTCATCCAAACGCAGCTGCTCATGGAATCCCTCTCTAAATCTGGAACTCAAAACAACACGGACGAAGACAGGTAAAGGAAAAGATCGTGTTTATAGCACGCTGCTTCCTGCGCGACATCTCTGTGTGGGCATTACGAAATCCGACAAGCGCCTCAACATCCTGTCCTACTTGTGAATCATAACAGTTTCAATGCTAGACACCTCAGTGTTTGCAGATGGTTAGAGGAAACTTTCATCTATCGTCCTGCTTTTCTTGATAAGACTCCCAGATTCCGTAAACAATTATGATAGACACCCTATTTCAATTAAGGTATAACTTATCGATCACTCGCTAATGAGCATATGTGAGCATCCGATCCGCCCCTCAAATATCAACAGCAAAACTCTGGAACACAGGCCAAAAGGTAGAATTTACAACTTAATGTTTTGTTGCACTGCGCCTAAAAATTTGTTTTGTTGCTAGAAGACGAAAATAACCAGTAAATAAGTCTTTGTTGAGGGTGTAAAATATTCTCTCGCTAGATTTTTCCCCCCAAAGAAAATTTTCACGTCTACAGTTTACTTAGGAAATACTACTTTAATTCGCTTGCGACTAAATTTCTGAAACGACAGATAATGCTGGTATGTATTGTGGGGAACTAATTCTTCTTATACGCAATCTCCTCCCCATCACGCTTCGTGGAAAAGGAACCGACTGACTACTTTAGTTTGTTGCGGTCAGGGTTGTCTTGAACTTTCTTCAGAATCTGGCAGCTCATTCCATCGAAGACTGCATAATTTATTTATTTATTTTTGTGCTAGCAACCACGTCCCTAGAGTTTTTTTCTGCGAAATCCCGTTGACTGAATCCGCTAGTGACTAAAAATGCACTTGTCTGTATATCGTGAAACTGTATATACAGACCCCTCGTATGAATATATAATTACTATTTTCAGAAAGGCTATCTCTGATCTCATTAACATGAGAAAGTTAAGATGACTTTATTTCTAACACACGGATGGTCTTTCGTGCTACTGAAGTCACACTACTACTTCTTACTGAAGTCGGGATTTTTTGTTTGCATTTTCACTTGAAACTGAAAACAATCTTAAAAATAAAAAAGGTAGATTCAGAAAACATGTTCTGTTTCATAAAAATCCTATAAATTACCGCCTGATACAGTGAAGTTGTCTGTACGCAAGCAAAAATTATAAAATATACGGCATATTTAAAAAACATGAAGCAGTATTAATGAAACACAATCATCGACAGCAGTAAAAAGCTTTCAAAAATGAACACGAGTCACGTAAGGACACCACCACGATGAACTGAGATTTCTCATATCCAAGTACATGACTGATTTACAATGATAAAACAAATTACGCGAATATAAATTTCACAGACGAACTCTCCCGTCATACAAAAGTGTAGATAGAATTAATCGCAAGCCACATACAAATCTATTTCCTCAACATTATATAATGCCTTTTGAATAATTTTTGTTTACTGCATTCACTGTTTTACACGCGTAACAAGTACTCCGATATCATTGTGATTGTTAGCTAATTGCTTCATTTTGTAGATTTCAACATTATTATTGGTTGACGTAACTACCTGTACTATTAGCGCTTTGGAAGAACTATACGACATAGATTAATTTTTAAACGATGTAGCTGAAAACGATTTATTACAAGCTACGCTATGTCATCGCTGGGACTCGAACCTGGACCTCTCGAAAACGCGCCGAGTGTGCCACCGTTACACCCCGAAAGCATGCGGAAAAGAAGGAGAAAATATACACTTATTACTTTTTGGTTACAGGTTTAACAGACTATAGCAAATGAAAGGTAGAATTTTGTTTTACAGGCAAGGTGGCCAAAATAAAGCTGGCCTGGGAAAGTGTGAAAATGTTTTCCAAATTTCATGAAAACTTACTCTGCGAAGCACAATTCACGAAAAACGAGTGCTGAACTGTTTCTTCAAGATCTTAACAAGGGAGTTGCTAGAGGTGTCTTGGCAACACCTCTAGCAAAATATTCAATGAAAACCTCAGTGACAAAATGGCACGAAAGGGACTTTATAGCGAAATGTAGTTCTCTTGTTCATTAACAAGGGTAAATTTAGTGTATACACAGCATTATAAACATTTTCCGGGTCAGTTTTATTTTAGATCCCCTGCATTTATCACCTCCTATACAAACTACATAATTGCCGTTAATTATAATAGCCGTGTCTTGCTAAGCGCGTTCCCATACTATATGAAATGTTCTATAGGCCTAAAAAAAAAAAAAAAAAAGTTACAATATATCCCTTCTAGAGGCCCCAGGTCACGGTGAACAGTGCTGATATTTCAAGGAAATTCTAAACGAAGGTAAAAAATAAATTAAGATCTTCTTTCTCAGAAATACTGCTAAGCATATAAATATTCATCTAAAAGGAGGGTCTCATAGTCGAGTAAATATGGAATGCATACAATGTGTTCTTTTAATATACTGATTCAATTTTCGAGACATTTTATTACTTCCCCCCCCCAAGATACAAAATTAAAAACTGTCGTTTATTTACTAATGTATGTATTCAACAAATTTAAATACTATTAGCATAGATGATAACTATTTGGAAATCCATTTTGAATAAATGTATTAATTTAGCTTTTCTTCATGTTTATCCATGGCTAAGTGGAAAAGACCACTTTCAAATTTCGGAGAATGGTCTGCCTGTATGAGCGTTTTCGTCGAGTCGACCACGTGTAACTAGCATATTAGCCAGTTTTCATTAGAAAGTCCTCTATGAAGGTATCCCTCCCTTTAGATACTTAGTTCGCTCGTGCTTTGCCACAATAATCTAAACAAACAAGCTTTAATTTACAACTTGAAAAAAACTAAAACTTCGTTTTGTGCTAGATTCACATGGCTAGAAAATTATCTTTTATTATGAGGACTTGCAGAAAGGGAAAACAGATTACCTGTTTAATCAATTATGAAAAAACATCCGACGGCTATCTGCATCAGAGATAGGACGCCTTCCTGCAGTACTTGTTAAGCGAAACTGTCTGGGTCCTACCAGTGGCCGAGTGATTAAGACTGCTAAATACTGGTAGTTCGACCTGGCTTGGGTTCGATCCCAGATGAACGGGCTGGCTGTAGGGTTTGTTTTTCTGGTTTTCTACATGTGTAAGTGAATACGATCCAGTTCCCTTAGATAATCCCTCCTGTTACGCAGATAGCCTTCTTGGCTTTGTGATATTCAGATAACCTAGCCCGAAACTGCCTTGCATTTACATTACACGGGGAAAAAAGTAAAGGGATATCAATTTTGCCTTCCCCAAATATGTTCAGCATTTCTTTGCACTATTTTTTTTTTTTTTTTAAGCACACGGCTTCTTTGGGCTTACCTTTTCCCACTTTTAAATAAAATCCAAGCCGCTTCGCATAAATATTACTGTCGACATTCGGAGAGCAATTTTATACTATAGAATAATATTAGTACATACTACAAACCGCCCAGACGTTAATTTCGAATTTATCTAACAAGCAATATCAGTTTGATGTATTTGAATTCCAAAAACATAAATTCAACACCCTGTGTTATAAGGCGTCATTTTTTCAGCCCAATAACTCCGTATCCAGTTAATTTCAGACACAACAAAGGAATAATAAATACCTTATTCTTGTAAAACAGATAATATTGTTTGACAATTAGAAAACATGTTCTGTATCAGATGACTTTCATTTAATTTATTTATTTCAAAAAAGGAGGGAACTACAGTTTTATTCAACTCTGGTATATGTACAGAATTTTTGTCTTCTTTCTCTGAAGTCTTCCAATGCCAGAACGGAAACAGGTTTTCATTACAAAGCACTTCACGTTTCGTTTTTTCCCTCTTTCCGGCCTGACGAGCATCAATACATCAAACTAGTAATTACTACCTACGTATAACATTACAGAATAAAATTTTTAACTTACAGAAAAAAACACTTTCAAGGTCTCTTTCTCTCTCTCTCTCTCGCTTTTTTTTTTTTTTTTTAATTTTTATTTTAGCGATTAATAGTCGTACTTTTCTTAATCTCACAATTTTACAGAAAGAAAAAATAATAACGTACTACTTGTAATAACAGTAACAATTACTCCTTAATGTTAAATCGTGTGCGTTCTTAAATACGTGTAAATAAAAATCGACAAAAGATAATATAAATCTGATTCCACAATTAATCAAAATGACAGCAGCATGAAAATTATATTAAATACAGCTGGAATGTTGAGCAACATCTTGAACATTTGTCATAAATTCTCACTATCACGAAGCCTACTAATTTTCAGAGTCATAAGGATAGGTACAGGTTGAAGCAAGTCCGGCAATTGTGCAGTGTACATACCTCTAGACATATTAGGCAAGGCTTTGCTAATTGCTAAGCTTTTGTCGCCGATGGAATTCCCCGAGGTATTATACCTGGGGTCGGTTCCGAGGTCTCCCACCCCTCTTCCTCCACCATCAACTCTCGAGAGGAATTCGGCTCGCTCTGTATTTTGAATGTCCCTTTGCCGCACAGACACTATACGCTTACAAACATCCATACCGTCTCACCGTGAACATCCACACCTGGTATTCCAGCCTAAGCCCTTTGGTACGGCAGTCACGTCAGCTAGCGTCACTAACTACTCGAACTTACAGTTCATTTATAATGCGGCCACGTCACCGACTTCAGGTCAGGATCATGGAGGAACCAATCACAAAAGCCGCTCGAACAACCACAGCTAAGAAAACATGTGCATGGAAGAGTGTCGATGAACCAAACACAAAAGCTGCTTGGGCCCCTCCCACAGCTAAGAAAACATGTGCCTGACAGAGTGTCAATTCCCACACGATATTACGGGCAATAGCATTAAATATCCGTAAAATGTTTAGCGCCCGAGTTAGGAAAATCGAAACGGCATCTATTCCCGAGATATCTCGGGCGCGGTCGTTAAGCGGTTAAGACAATGAAAAATCTTTCGGAGGACCTTTTTGAGGTAGATAGCTTCTTAAGAAGCAGGGCAGACAGCTATGGAAAAAGCAAAATGGCATTGTTTCATGACAAATAATCTCTG